ATGAAAAAATAAAAGATCCCATGATGTGCACAGTTACAACACACAACACAGTTCAAAGACACTGAATACAGGAAACCTCTGTTGTTTACGGCAAACCAGAGGAAATGGAAAATCGTACTGTATTATTCTCAGACACAACACAGTATGTCATGCTGCTATTAAAAGCTTAATATAAAATATTACCTGCTGTTATCTATTTTAACATTAATTTATTTTAGACCTAATATTTTAGACCTAATGTTTTAGACCTCAGATAAGTTTCCTTGCTCCACACATACGCGTGTTTACCTAAGCAGTAAGTAGGAACCTGCTTCTTAGTTGATTGGTGGATTGCTTTCCACCAATTGATAATAATCCCTCCAAAATAATAATTTGGTCACTCAATCCACGACTGTTTGTGGGACACTACTGTGCACAATTGGCTGCTGCATTTCTCCTACAAAATATACAGTCAATTCACTTTACAGTATATTCTGTGAAGCGCTTTGAGACGTCTCAACGATGTGATAAGGTGCTATATCAAATGCAAGGATTATTATATTATTATAATATACAAAAGCAACATAAAACATAAAAATCTCTTGTGTAAAACTAATCATAAAATTGATATTACTTCAAATAACTTCCAATTTGGGGAGGGGAGGCAATTGTTAACATAAGAACGGTGACTGGAGATGATGAAGCCACGGTTCAATGGTAGAGATGGGAGAATACTCTTTGAGATTTTGCTCTGTTGCCTCCTGGCCAACAATCTCCCAAATAGAATCGGTCATTCATTCCACGCCTGTTATGCGACATTGCTGTGCGCATGCTGGCTGCTGCTTTTCACCCACAAAAATACAGTCAGTCCACTTTACAGTATATCCTGTGAAGCACTTTGAGATGTCTTATTGAGATGATAAGGTGCTATATCAAATACAAAGATTATTATAATTATCCAGAATATGCCTGTGAGTGGGACAGAAATGGAGTGAGTGGAACACAGTCCACCATAGGATAGGTTGTATGTGTTCTGTGGAGAGGGCGATCATAAGTGACCAGAATGGCCTTTCCTCATTCCATGCCTTCTTACATTCTTTCAATGCAACATCATCTGTTTCTACTATCAGGCAGAGTTTTGTATATTTTTCAGAAAGATTTTATTGCATTACTAAAAATAACCAAAAGGAGGTCCTGCAAGTTGACATGATACATTTCTAGTTAATGACAGGATTTGCCGTTTGTGAACTGTTGTATATTAGTCCCTATATTACTGTAATATAATGTATATACTGTTTTACTGATCCTTGTATGCAAGCTGAATCTTTTGATAAATGTAGGGACACTGGAACTACCGTGGAGTTGCTGGTATTCTAATGGTTAAATTCTTTTGCCTTTAATTTTATAAAACTCCTTCTGGGGTACTGCGTGTGTTGCAACCATCATCCCACAATTTTTAAAAAATGTGGTTTTATCATTGCTTTTCACAAAAAAAGAGCATGTTGCTGTGGAGGTTTTGCAGCTGACTGCACAAGGGGGATTCACACATGCACAGTGGTTCTATACAGACAAGACTATAGTACCAGTAATTCTGTTAAAAAACAGCCAACCCACGGGCTTCTCCCCAATGGCAAACAAAAACCCTGGATTGCTTTACTGAATCCCTCTCACCAATTCAAAAATTGCAAATAAGAAACAGAGCAGCACAGAGCACTTGTCTCCAATATGAAAATGGATTCTTATGCTGTGGATCTGCCCCCACCCCCCAAAAAAAATTATTCTGTATACAGAATACCTGGAGACATGAGGAAAAGTGTTGGGAAGCAATCTGCTTGCATGAAAATTAAAAATATGGAGCATAACATTAGCTTTGGAGATGAACAGAAGGACTTCCTGATGTAGCAGACAAACTAACAAATTAGATTTATTATTATAAATTATACTTATGTAGCATCTTTCACATTGGAAGGATGTCTCAAGGCATAAAGCCAGTATTCTAGCTCGGGGTTATCCATTTCAGCTGCTTATAATAATAATAATCCTTGCATTTGATATACTGCCTTATCACATCAACAACAACAACAAGATTCCATTTATAAAGCGCCTTTCACGTCAGGAGGACGTCCCAAGGCGCTGCACAGTTGGGTCATGACCCGAGCAGGGGGGAAATGGTCAGGGTGAGGGGAGGGAAGGGAGGGAGCGAGGAGGGGGGAAATGGTGAGGGGAGGGAAGGGAGGGAGCGAGGAGGGGGTAGAGAGTTGAGAGGGGAGCTGAAGGTTCGGTCAAAGAGAAAGGTTTTGAGACCGGCCTTGAAGGAGGAGAGGGAGGAAGCGGCGAAGGCACTGGGGGATAGAGTTCCAGAGCCTCGGGGCTGAGAGGCTGAAGGCCCGACCACCGATAGTAGGGCGATTGGGGCGGAGGATGTGGAGCAGACCGGAGCCGGAGGAACGGAGGGTACGGGCAGGTAGGTAGGGGGATAGTAGGTCAGAGAGGTAGGAGGGAGCGAGGCCATGGATGGCCTTATAGGTGAGGATGAGGATCTTGAAATCAATCCTCTGGGGGATGGGGAGCCAGAGGAGGCGAGCGAGGGTGGGTGTGATGTGGTCCCGAAGCCTGGCGATATTCCGGAGGTGATGGAAGGCGGTGCCAGTTGTGGTGCGGATGTGAGGGAGAAAGGACAGCTCAGGGTCGAACAAAACGCTGAGGTTCCTGACTGGCTTTGAGAGGTGGAGAGTGCAGCCTTGGATGCTGATGGTGTCTTCGTTCAGACCTCGCAAAATGCTTCACAGAATATACTGTAAAGTGAATTGACTATATTTTGTGGACGAAACATAGCACAGCGGTGTTCCACAAACAATTGTGGATTGAGTGACCAAATTATTTTTTTTAAGGGATTATTACCCTCAGAAAGTGATCTGCCAATTCATTAACAACCGGGTTTTTATTTACTGCTAGGTAAACATAGGCGTGTGGAGAAAGGAAACTTGCCTAAGGTTACACCGTGCCTGGGAATCAAATCCAGGTCTCCTCACTTGCGAGGCGAGTGCTCTAACCATTATACTATAGGACTCCACTTATACAGTAAGAACTTAAGGTGATGAAGGTAATTTCGCCCATTTAACCTCATCCTTCCAGAACCTTCCACCCCTTACTGTCTTCCCATAACAGCACTAAGATGTTTCTTAAATAAATTCACTGCCCTGGCCTCAACCACTCTTCCTGGTAACCCTGTTGTTGATTTAAAAATACTTCCTGGAATCAGTTCTGAATTGCCCCTCACCATCTGACCTTGTGACGTGGCATATTGGAAAGTATTGTTGAAGGTTTACTTTCTCTATCTATACAGCATTTCATGTTTCTCAATAAGACATTTTGAGGGATAAGAGACTAATCTTATACAGTCGTTCCTCATCACTAATTTCTGTAAAGTAGGGATCAGTTCATTTCATTCCTTTATACTGCATCCAAACAATCTAAGATTTCTTCAGCCCTGGGATGATAATAATAATTCTTGCATCTAATATAGCTCTTTATCACGTCGTCGAGATTTCTTAAAGCGTGTCACAGGATATACTGTAAAGTGGATGGATTTTGAATTTTGTGGGCGAAATGTGGCAGCCAGTTGTTAACGCCCCATCCGAAGTTTGGCACCTCCTTCAATGCAACAATCCTCCGCCAGCGTTGCATTGGAGTGTTAGTTTAGACTATGTGATTCCAAGTCCCAACGTGGGGCTTGAACTCACAATATTCTGACTCAGAAGCGTGAGCACTACCACTGAGCCAGGCTGACACACAAGATGCGTACAGTATTCAAATAATGGGAGCAGATCTCCTACTACAGCCTGAATAACAAGTACTGGCACCAGTCTAAACCACTTCTTTATATTAGTGTCTTCCAGCGCTGTAAATACTGCAGTCTATTACTCCCATATCTACCTGTCTGCTCCCTCCGCTCAGCGGCCTGCTACATGTTCCCCGTACAGCTCGCCCCACCTTGGCGGTCGGGCCTTTAACCTTTCTGCCCCCACCCTTTGGAAGACCATCCCACAGTCCCTTCACTTCCCCCTTCCCTTGGCTCCTTCAAGGTCCATCTCACATTTCTCTTTGAGTGTGCCTTTGGTCACTCTCCTACTCCCACCCTCCCTGCCCTCCACAACGACAACAACTTGGATTTATATAGCGCCCTCCACCCCTCCTGATCCCAACTGTCACTCGGGTGCAAATCTTTGACTGTCCAACACCTTGCTATGTCCTCCCACATGAAAAGCGCTGCATAAGTGTAATTTGTTGTTGTTGCAGCAGTGCATCTGCACCTTCCTATAATGTTGTAGTCATCACAGAGTCAAATGTGACAAAAGCCCACAACCACAGATCATTGCTTCAGCCTTAACCTAACTCAACTAAAGCACTGTTAAAGATTTATCCAAATCTATCTCTTAAATACATTTTATTTCTTTGAAAAAAATGTTACTGCAGTCCTTAAAAAGGCCTGAAACAGGTCATAACCCACACATCAAGGTCAACAGGCCTTGAAATAGGAAAAACGGGAACTGAAAATCCTCATACTGTGATCACAAGTAATAAGAGCACTTGTGCAAGTTTGCAAATTAATTAGATGTGTATTTAACCAACAGCCTTGAAAAATCAAACTCAAGTTTGGGTAAATTTTCTCCTGCATTGCACAGACGAAGCCGCGGCAACAATAAATTACATTTTTAAAGAGTCGAGCCCTCCCACTGAGTCCTCCTACAGGAGTCCTCCCAGATGAGTATATATAAAGATGAAATGTCTGCCTGTGTGTCAATCTACATTCCATATTGGATCTTTTGGTTGCAAGCGAAGCTGCAACAGGTACAGCTAGTTATAAAATAATCACATAAAATTATAAGATGTTTCAGTGGAAAAAGATGTAACCACTCACAACTCCTTGTGGTGCTGAGAACTGAAGCAATAAGATCAAACAGTGAAAGGGTAGCCCCCTGAAGCTTATTTCCAGTATTTTTTTAAAAAAAGATTCATACCTTTACATCACCTCTCGTCTTTCGCAGTCCCAATTTCTATAAAATACAACAAGATGTCACAAAGGTTTGGAGTTAGACATTCATCACCTTAAAGCACAAAGTGGCTTGACAGGCAAACAACTGGGAATGTGGATATCTATGCTCTGTGACAACATTGTGCTTTATGAATAATTTACTCCATTTGAGCAACTGATTAATAGGAAATTGAACATGAGTTCATAAAGGCTTGTCAGTAAGGAACAGTCATCATCAGTGTTTTCCCTCCTCTCGATGGTTTGCATTTCTAACTGTGTTAGTTTTTCAATGATGAATGAACTTTTCCCAGAGACTGTAGGAGGTCTCATGATGACTGACCTACTACAGATTCCTTTTAAACACTAATCTTGTCTTCAGATTTAGTAAAGCCTAATGTCACAATTGTCAATCTCAACTATTGATTTGTGAGTATTATAGATGAGTACAAGCATTTGCATATCTTTGTGGAGAAATATAATAAAATCCCTCGAATTCAGTCCTCCTGCAGTAGTTGTACCCAATCTTCAGTCGAATTATGGTGTCAAAAGGTACATTTCATAGTGATAAAGGCAGCTGCATCTCGAAGCACTCGGTGAGGCACTGGATTCAATTGAAAATTCAAAATGTTTAGAAACAAATTCTAAGCAACAGGTATTTGAATACTATGTATTTTTGTATACATATTCTGAGCAATACAATTTAACATTCAGTAAAGTTTTTTGACTTTTAATTATAAAACTCGTGTTTCATTTTCAAATTACAGTTTGTGGAATCCTGTAGCATATTGGTTAGAGCAGTTGCCTCGCAAGCGAGAAGACTCGGGTTCAATTCCCGGGCAGGGCAAAACATTAAGCAAGTTTCCTTACTCCACATGCCTCTGGTTACCTAGCAGTAAATAGAAACTCGGTTGATTGGGGGATTGTTTTCCGGGCAGTAATAATCCTTTAAAAAAACTGAATAAGTAATAATTTGGTCACTCAATCTACGACTGTTCGTGGGAAACTGTTGTGCTCAATTGGCTGCAGCGTTTCCCCCACAAAATATACAGCCAATTCACTTTACAGTATATTCTGTGAAGCATTTGGGTGTCTCGAAAACGTGATAAGGAGCTATATGAAATGCAAGGATTATTATTATTATTACAATTCCAGAGTAGTGACTCTCAAATTACTGACTGGTATTGATAGACTTCACCACACAGAATACATAATAGGTTGTAGCAGCCATACCGTCAAATCAAAGGTTGTCTTATCCTCAGAATTACAGATTAAGAGCTATTGTGGAGAACCTGAGAGGGAGAATAAACATCAGTTACTGCTATAGCAGGGAGAAAGAGAGCTTATAAGATGCATGGTGCTTAAAAATTACAGTGAAGGATATGAATGGCATCAGTAAGGCAATTGATGGGAGTGGGAGAAGCTAAACCCAGAGTAATTGAAATGTCAGACATGACATTTGAATCGTATTGTTTACAAAAATGATAATGTACAATCCTCAATTTTAATTTAGTTAAATGTTTTATTCTGGAGGATGTACGATTGCTCTGATTTACATTATTTGCTAGGACACTGCGCTCCATGGCTTACAAGTATGGTGTTGTCTGATCTCAATTTGGAATCCTGACTTTAAATTGTGAGTGTACGACAGCAGAGTGAACATGATCAACAAAGACTGAGTGAAAATCTGAAAAGATCATAAAGTGAAATTCTGATAACCTGGGATAAGTTGTCAATCCCACATAGCTGGTCACTCATACAATATCCCAGCTATTCGAGTACATTCTACTTTCGAGATACTGAATTTTGGTTAACTAGTTAACTCTGATAAGTAGTCATTTGAGCTATTTCCCTTGGGGTAATGAATTATCAGACTTTCACTGTATTGTCAGTCAGAGCAGAGGTAGACCGCTGAGCTAACACATTGCTCCCTTTTTGGACCATGGCACGTGGGTCCGATCTGAGAATTCTCTGGTTCGTGATATTCACTGCTGTGATCAAGCTCTCCTTGAATCTGCTTAGCATCAGGACTCCTTAAATTAAATTCCCTGGTATAGGACGTCTGTCTTTAATCTAGGACATCTTTTAGCAATTGATATAGCGCCTTATCACGTCGTTGAGACGTCTCAAAAGTGCTTCACAGAATATATCGTGAAGTGAATTGACTGTATATTTTGTGGGCGGCAGCCAATTGCACATCAGTGTCCCACAAACAGTCATAGACTGAGTGATCAAACTATTGTTATTTATTTAATTTGTACGGATTATTACCGCCGGAAGCGAAACCAACTAACAACGGGGTTCCTACTTACTGCTAAGTAAACAGAGGTGTGTGGAGTAAGGAAACTTGTCCAACATTTTGCCCCGTCCGGGAATCAAACCCAGAACCTCTTGCATGTGAGGCGAGTGCTCTAACCAATACTCTACACAGGACTCCATATTAAAAGTATGATTATGGTTATTTCTGATGCAGAATGAACTAGTAGAAAAAAAATAATCAAAGCAGAGGTTGTACTTTTTTTAAATTTGGTTTTAATGATTTCATAAATGACATTTGTTAGTGAGAGTTCCAACTGCAATGTTTAAACCCATGCAAAACAGTCAACAGAAAAAGCTCCATGAACACATCAATCGGAAGCTTTTAAAACCTTACCCAAATCTAACAGCGTTCACAATCCTTGCTATCATTTAATGATTGTGATTAATACAATTGCTATTTTAAACATATTCTAGTCTAATTTGTCTCGTAATAGCCAAGCCTGACCCCTACCCACCCAACTAGTAAATGGTGCTGCAAAGATACCAGGATCAGGAACCCTGGTTCGTTTTCCCCTCACTAACCCTGGGAATGCCGGGGCAAATTTAGCCTCCCCAAACAGCATGGACCAGGATTCAAAACAGGGACCTCTTGGTCCATAAGTACAGCTCTATCGACTAAACCAACAGTTTACTACATTTTTGCAGTATTTCTTAACAGATTTCTTAAGAGCTGTGGAGTTATGCTAAGAATACATCCTGCGTTGAACCTTCAGTACATCTGCCATTTTAGTAATTTGATATCCACTTTTTATTAAAAAAAACTTTAGCAAGTACAGCAGATTAGACCCAGGTATCATCCCTTAAGAAATGACTTTGAAAACATGGTCAGAATCCTAATCTGGACAAAAATCTGTTCTGCATCTGACAACCATTGATCCTCACATTTTTGAAAACACATGAATTGTAACATGTGAAATGCACTTTAATTAAATTTACAGAAAAAGACATTGATTGTGGCACATAACTGAACTGCACATGAATACAAATGTCATCTCTTTTTTTAAATCAAGGTTTCATACTTCGTGAACATGTTTGAAACAGCCTAATAATGAGATGTAATGTGAAAAAATCTTTTTGCCAATTTTCTTTTGTTGGAGAGAGATAGAAAGCAAAACCACACTTTTTTTTAAAAAAAATTAAGTTTCCCTTGCCATGCTATCTGGTTTGCAAAGTAAAAAAACCACATACTTTGAGGACTTTCATGTTTTATATCTTTACTATGCTCAATGAGGAGGGTTGGAAGCACGTGAGTTGTAACTGCATGCTGCTCTTGAATTTGTTGAGGAGTTCTTCAAGTAACCTGTGAGAGTGGCAAGATAGTTGGTTTATAATAGTGCACAATTATTGGATAATCAAATTCACTTTGAAATGTTCAAAGGCAGCCACAGTAAAACAAGTACATCACTGATTTGTCAACTTTGTGACTGCCAATCCACCTGGGCAACAACGGGCAGCTTTAACCCCTTCAACCCCACAGCAGTTTTCCCGTCTCCACATTGTTGGATTCATTATGAGAACTGCTGAACGATACACTCTAAGGTTAAACCTAGGCCAAGCCACTATCTGATTGGATATGTAAAATAAGCATTGAGCGGTTCAAGGTTTCACACTTGAAGTGTCTGATCAAGTTTTTTGTCTCCTATTCTGCTTTGTCTTCAACTTAAACATCATTGTTTCCCTAACTAATTTAATTTATCCTACCGTTTGAAAAATATTTTTGTTGCAAAAGATAATCTTTCACTAGCCCCTTTTATCATTCTGATAATGATCATTGGTGTCAGTTTGGTTCAGCTCGTATCATTCTCGTCTCTGAGTCAGAAGGTTGCGGGTTCAAGCCCCACATCAGGACTTTGAACTCCCTGTCTAGACAGACATGTAATACAATGCTGGGGTTGCACAGCGTTGTTGGCGGCGCTTTCCTTCAGATGAGATGTTAAACCGAGCTTCCATCTGTGCCCGCTCAGAGTAACAATCAGGTGATCCTTTGGAACCTTTCAAAATGTGGAGCTTTTCCTGGTGTCCTGGCCAACATTCCCAATGGAATTGTTATAATAATAATCCTTGCATTTGATATAGCGCCTAATCACGTCTTCAAGACGTCTCAACGCGCTTCACAGAATACACTACAAAGTGAATTGACTGTGTATTTTTCGGGTGAAATGTGGCAGCCAATTGCACACAGCAGGGTGCCACAAACATTTGTGGATTGAGTGAACAAATTATTATTTTTTTTAACTATTCTGGAATTGATAGATTCAACACCAGATGCTCAACTAAAACAGGCTTATCTAGCTTTTAAATAAATTGTCAGGCTGAATCTCAAGCAAAGCAGAAAAATTATACATCATTCTAGCAACTTACTTTTTGTCTGCTCCACTGGGAAGCTGGGGCAGTACTTCAAGGGCCTGTTTGAAATTTTGACTGAATTGAGAAAGAGATAAGATTCATTAACAAAACAGCATTCAAAGGCAAACAATATTAAATAAGGCACTTGTTGTGCAATGCAGAGTTTGTACAAATCTGATTATAATTTTAATATTTTTTTAGAAAAATTATTTTGTACATTTTCCTTAAAGAATATGCATTATCTGGAAATCAGTTCCAGAGATTCATAATCAATTGCAATTTATAAATGAGAACTAAATTTATTCAAAGATTTTCTGTAGATAGAAAAAATACCTTGCACAAATAAATACTCTTGTCATCAAACAGTAGAAACCCTTTGAGACACTGATCCTGTAAGTATTCACATGCTACTCAGGTGGTCTCCACGGTTCATAAGGGGCTTCTGACACATGCACATCTTGGTTTTGACCAGAGGAGGTAGCAGAGAAAGTTATCTTCACTTATCTTCTTGTTTCATGAGAAACAAAAAAATGTTTCATGATATAGCTCGGACTCTCTGGTAAACTCTGGCTCTGCTTGGGATCGGTGTCCAAGAAACAACTCGACAGTGAGTTCTGATGAGCTGATCATCCAGATAATGGGATACATCAGTTTGAGGACTATCACTTTGGACACACTCTTTGTGGAGTCAATCAGGTGGAATCTTGCACTGTAACTGACTCTATTTATATTGAGTCCTAAGTGGTGCTCCACGTTTCCAGTGTGAAAGCATGTACCTCTTAGAGTAACAGGTGCTGTGAAGTTTCCAATAGGCACTGCACCAAAGTTACCATCATAATTTCTTACACTGAAAGAAGGTGTGCAAGATCTAAAATGGATGGGCTGAAAGCCTCCCGGGGCTGACAAAATAACATGAGTTCTTTCTCCATTTGCTGCAAACCCAAATCTCCCTGGCGTGAGCCCTCTCACAGGAAAGTCACTGCACCCTCCCTGAATTTATAAAGGAATCTGCTCTGACTGGAGTAGCTGTGGGTTTGCTTTGCAAATTGAAATTTGGTGAGAAGCGAAGTTAATTTTATAGAAAAACCCCCTGCGGAGATACCACTTAAAACTGCCTGTGAGAAAAGGGGTAAAAGATCTGGGAGCAAGTTCAGATCATGAGGTCAGTTAGCCCTACCACTAAGTCTATGGCAACACATGTTACTCTTTTCTTACTTAAATTTAGGCTCTAATGTACTACATTATCAGATTGATATATTATGCATCTATTGAAGGGACAATGGATCCTGATGTTTGACGATGGACTACCCAATAAAATATAGATGTTTAATCAATGTGTGGAAGAACACATTCAGATAGATATAGATTTTAAATATTATGGCAATTATTTTCAATTCATCAAAGCATCTTTTTAAATCCTGTTGAACTCTGCATTAGCGAACCCAAAACAATATGACTCTAGAGTTCTCTCTTACTTGCTATCAGGTGTCAGGAACGAAGCAACAGCATCTCTGAGAGCACAAATTTCCAATCGAGCCTAAAAACAAACACACGTCACAAATTTATTATACAACATGTATTCGGGTCCTGTCATCAATTGAAATTTCTCAGTGTGTTACGTACAAGTTCATGGATTATAGAAGTTTATTAAATGGATGTGATAAACCCCCTCTCAAATAAAATAAGACAATTGAACAAATAGAAGCCACGGACCTCTTTATCAATGTGCTGTGCCAGACAAGACTGCCAAATTTCAGGATAAGTGGAAACGTAACTATCTCTATTTTCAGTTTAGTATTCCCAGTTTATAGGATCTTATCTTGTGCAAGCGCTCTGGGACGCTACCCTGCCTATATAAATGCAAGTTGTTGTTGTAGTTGGATCTTTTTAAAATGCCGCTTCATTACAGAACCACATGAAATAAATTCATATGGCATCAGATAGGTGTGTATATCCCACATCATCTAAACATCATACAGTACATAAAAATTAGTGAAAACCTGACCACCGATGGAGGGGTGGAGATGTGAAGCAGGCTGGATGGTGCCCACTGAGGGGAAAGAGTAGCCGGGTATCACATCAATAGCTACCTTGCAGCATTTTATACAGATGATGCAATTCAATGGAACAGAGAATAGAGCTTCTCTTTGTGTCCTGGCCGACAATCCCCCCAGGTAAAATTAATCGTTTACTTCATGGCTATTTGTGGGATAGTCCTGTGCGCACATTGGGTGTGTTCGCCTGCAAAATAGTCATTACACTTTACTGTAAATCGTGTAAAACGCTTTCAGACTCCGCCACTGTTAAGTGCTCCAGGACGCTACCCGGCATGAAGGGTCCTATATAAATGCAAGTTGTTGTTGTTGTTGTTGAGATGTCTCGACAATGTGATAAGGCACTGTATCAAATATTGTTATCAATCGAATATTGTTATCAATTGCTCCCTGCAGTACGAAATACAGAGCTGAGAATTAATGTGGTCTTCATTCTTTTAAATGGTATGGAAAAGCTTTTCACATGTCTGGCTCAGTGCAAGGTTAACATTGATTAACAGAACTCTTTGCATATGCTTAGTTGTGCTGGGCACAGGGCTCACCTTAGCTCTGATAAGAATGACTGCATGGGCAACTCAAACTGCAATTGATGTATATTGATTCGAGGGTACAAGCACCAACTCATATGCAGCACACCATAAAAAGGAGACAGCACGAATTAATAGAATCTAGACTATACCAGAATCTGGTATAGTCATTCATGTATTCCTTGTTACGTGCAATAAGATACTCTCTAAACCACGAGTTTGTTGACCTGCAAGTCGCAGTTAAGAGGAAAGACCTTTGGCATGTTCTGTCAATCCTGTTGCTAAACAACACAGCCTCCAGTGGGCTTGGGCTCAGACTGCAAGAGCAAATGGTTGGGTATCCAATTACATCTTGTAGTTTTAACTATAACCTAAGTTACCTCTGTGAGTGAAAAAGTACTGGCCCTGAGCGGGTACATACAGTAGTCTTATCTTTTGAAGGTTGCTGCACCACAGACCACATTCAATTAAAAGCAAAAGTGAACCGTTACTGACTGTTTTTAATCTCTGATGAATAAAGCAGATTTCTTTTGGGTAATTGATACAAAGTGAAGAAATAACGGCTTAATTTCTCTTCCAGTGCTTGTTTAAATAAGTTTTCTATTGAATTGTATTAAAAAAACTTAAGATTCCACCCCCCGCCCCCCCATTTAACTATAAAGTGATGTCCTCCCAATCTTATTATCATTTCTGAGGCTAGGTGCAGAACTGTGAATTTTTTTTAGCCTCAATTCCCAGCCTCCCTTCCCAACCTTGTAACTGTATTCAGTGTTGTATAAATTGTATAAATTCTACAGCAGTTAATGGACATTAATGGACATTTCAGTGTGCCATTCAAGGAATAATGACTGTTGTATCAGAGATATTTCTCTCTCCGCTTATAAAAAGATGAGTTGGTCATCTTTCATGTCAGGACGACATCTCAAAGCTCTTCACAAGATTTAATGTAAAGTTTAGTGATTGTATTTTGCAGGAAAACATGACCACCCATTTGTGCAAACAATCATGGAATGAGTGACCAATTTTATTTGGGAGGTTTGCTGGCCTGGACATCAGGAGGAACTCCCTTCTCTTTAGGAATAGTTCTATGAGATCTTTAATGTCAACGGGACCTCGGTTTAACTTCTCATCCGAAGAATGGTACCTACTAGAATGCAGCATTCCCTTATGAAACAATCCAAATTTACATTTATAAAGCATCTTTCATGTCGGGAGGGTATCCTAAAACGCTTACTGGGACTGGCAGAGCACCTGAGCTAGGGTGGGAGCCGAGGGGGATGGGAGGCGAAAGATGAACAAAGTTGCAGTCAAAGAGGAAGGGCTTAAAACAGACTTTGAACGAGATGAGGGAGGGAGCGAGTCAGAGGGACTCTGGAATGGAGTTCTAAAATGGGGACAAAACCCACTTGTTTTGCCCACAAAATATACAGTCAATTCACTTCACAGTATAGCGCTTTGTGAAGCGCTTTGAGACGTCTCAAAGACATAATAAGGCACAATATCAAATGCAAGGATTATTATTATAAAAGGCTGAAAGCCTGCCTACTGTTGGTGGGGTAGATAGGGCGAAAACATGAAGCAGGCTGGAGCTCGCTAAGCGAAGAAGCCAACTGGGTCGGGTAGGTTTGAGAGGGTCCCAGAGGTTAAATGGGGTGAAATCACAAAGGGATTTAAAGGTAGGAACAAGGTTCTTTAACTCGATTTGCTGATGGAGGATAGCCAATGGAGCTGAGCGAGGATGGGGGTGAAAGACTTGTGGAACCTGATGTGAGAAAGGACACGGGCTGCAGAGTTCTAGATAGCCTGTAGCTTGTGTAGGGAAGAGCTGGGGAGCCCTTTTAGCAGAGTTTTGGCCTAGTCAGGCTTGGACATGATAAATAGCTCCATATAGGAGTGTGTTCAGTGTCCCGATGTGGGGCTTGAACCCACAACCTTCTGTCTCAGATCTTAAACAGACAAATGAAAGTTTCTGCCAGCGTTCCAGTACCTGCAGAGCTCCATTCTTGCTGAAGGATGACACACACTGCATCAGTCGGTTCATTTCTTCTGCCACGGCTTCAATGATTTGCGAAAGAACTCTTGGAACGAGCTCTTTAGAAATCGTGAACACCTGAAAACCACACACGCAAATAAATGGTTGAATTCCGACAGAGATGACCACCGACAATTGATTACCAAATTTGTACCAAATCAGCCATGAGCACAGCAACAGTTGGATAGAGATTGAAGTTAAATTGCCTCCTGGCCCAGCAGTGTACCTATTTAAATGAGCCCTTCTCCTGCACCATTTCCCACACCTGTCTGCATCCTGTGGCCTCTCAGATAAAGGGTATAAAACTTGAGTTTTTGGCTAACCTTTACTCTTTGAAAGCCTTATCCACCCAGCAGAGAGAAGAAGTTTCCATTTGCTTTGGTCCAGGCAAAATTCAAACTCAGATCTTGGCATAACTAAACACTATCTTAACTCACAAAAGCCACAGAATAAACATTAATTTTATGTTACAGTGAAACCTCTAGTATCTGCCATCAAAACCAAGAATCACCCACTGAAGATCTGTTCATTTATGATGGATAATCTCAGTTCCTCTTCCAATAAGACATTTTTTCCCATACAATTGCACATTTGCTATTACTTGTGTACATGCAATGTGCAATTGACATTTCTCTTGGAATGCCTATGTTCTAATCTTTACTGCCCTTCTCTAGCCATGAGAAGAAACATGCAAAGTAAATTCGACATTTACTGGTTATCTCCCCACTCTTAAGATGGTAATGAAATGCCACAAATGGATAAGAACTAAATCAGCTTTTAAACAAGAGATTCTCTGTAGCTTAGTGGTTAGAGCACTTGCCTCGCAAGCGAAGGGACATGGATTCGATTCCCGGGCTGGGCGAAATGTTGGGCAAGTTTCCTTACTCCAGATCGCTTTTGCGGGGATAATAATCCATTCAAAAAAAATTAAAATAACAATAATAATTTGGTCATTCATTCCACGACTGTTTGTGGGACACTGCTGTGTGCAATTGGCTACCGTGTTGCGCAAACAGGATATACAGTAAATTCACTTTACAGTATATTCTGTGAAACGCTTTGAGCCATCTCAAAGATGTGATAAGCTGCTATATCAAATGCAAGGATTATTATTATTATATTTATTTGTTGATTGTGTAACCTGCAATTTATCAAATTCTTAATGGTGTAGAAGCAAAAAAGGATAGAACAAAATAAAGGAATAGATCAGTTTGCTTTCAATGCAGGTCAGAATAACCTTTTGGCATTCATCGCATGATTGCATAAACTTAGGTTAGCACAGCACGTCACGTACAACTAGGATTTCCCAGCTCGTGAGTAAGCGCACTTTGTAATGTTTCTAACCGCAGGAACGGTAGTTTGCCAGATTTTTTTTACGCTAGTGTTTTCCATGAAAAGCATGCAATTCCATGAAAATCATGCAATCATGCAAATCACGCAAGTAATAGTCTGTCAAAGGGGTATGAGCCCTGATCTATTAATAGATTCTTCTAACCTCATGGAATTGCTTAATTCAGGTTTTGTACTGTACAATACCAGGAACCAAAAACAATAAGCAGCTTGTGTCATAAACACTATCCCCAATCAATTCCAAGAAATTGGATACAACCATGATTCTAACATGTGAAAGTGATTCAAAAATATCTCTCTGAAGAATATACTCTCTTGGTGTTGGGGATGTAGGTGCAGGAATGTGATGTTACTGCACATCTGTCAGGCAGTGCTCTACTTGCCCTGCCTCTGTTTCAAAGCTGAAATGTAAGACGCACTATTAACACTGTACAGACTGTATTCCAGGGCTCACCTCTGCGTGAACAGCAATGATGTTAGCCAAAGCTTCCTTTAAGTAAGTTCTGACACCTGAGGAAATAAGGACAAGCAATGCTTATTATTGTAGACTGTAACAGTTGGATGAAAGGTTACACTGAACACTGAGCAATATTAACTAAATGGAAAATCGATTAAGGCAGTGCTACCCTTCATGCTCCCCAGCCAGTCCATGAACCTTCGGTGTAAATGGGCCAAGACAATTCCTGTGCTTCCAAGCAAATGCTGACTTTATTCTTTGCGAGCCACTAAAAGACAAGCAAGCAGTAATCTGATAGAGGCACCACATCTGTGCAGAGGCAAGTGCCTCTCTTTTAGCCACAGCATGGCTTGAGAGTTAAATTAAATCTGAAATTAAATTATATTTGAATTAAATATGCATCCTACGAACTGATCCACTCTGTCTGCTGTATTAGCAACCTGCAAATGTCATTATTGCAAAATCAAATGAATGATTCCTGTGGTGATTAAAAGACAAATAAGAAGTGTTCACTTTAAAGAGATTCTGGATATTTTTTGAAAAAAATATTTTGTTGCATTTTATATCTGATTTAAACCCTTACCTCAAAGACTGAACAAAATTTTCAGTTGGTAGTGAATGCAACCTTCCATTTTATATAAACTGTTGATAAATTTATAGTAATATTACAAGTATTATTTCTTCTGTGTGAATATCATGCAGGGGCAGGGAGACATCAGTAGCAGCAAAGAAGACTAATAAGTAGGAGCAATATGTATGAACAGGCAATATATATGAATAGAGTATATATGTATATATGTGGCGTGGCAATATATATGAATAGAACAATATGCATCTTCCATCCCTTAACCTATCTACTTAAAATTTATCCAAATCCGTTTGATCACTAAATTAATCATCTGGCCAGTTTGGTCTCATCAGTTGTTTGGAAAAATGTGACGATGTTGCAGTAAGAAGCTAAACAAGGACAAACGTTATTGGTGAACTAACAGGTTTAGGTTCTTGTATTGAAATCCGTTCTCTGCCTGAATAAGTCCTGGTATACAATAATAAAAAATATTTGATATAGTGCCTTTCACATCAGGAGAATGTTTCAAAGAGCTTCACAGGATGTACCGTAAAGTGTAGTGACTGTGCATTTTGTAGTCAAACATGGCAGCCAATTTGTACATAGCACCGCCCCACAAACAACTATGTAGTGAATGGTCAATTTTATCTGGGGCAATGTTGGCCAGGACACAGGGAGTGCAGGATGGTAGGGGTTTAGGAAGTCATAGAGGCGGGGGGGAGCAAGGCAGTGGAGAGCTTTGAAGGTGAGGACCAGACTCTTCAATTGTATCCTCTGTGTGATGGGAAGCCAGTGGAGTCGAGCGAGGATGGGGGTGATAGGGTCACAGAGTCTGGTGCGGGAGAGGACACGGGCTGCAGAGTTCTGGATGATCCGCAGTCTATGGACGGAGGAGTTGGGGAGACCGACAAGCAAGGAGTTTGCATAGTCAAGCCTCGAGGTAATGAAAGCATGCATGAGGGTTTCGGCAGCCTGCGGTGTGAGACAGTGGCGGAGTCGGGCGATGTTGCGGAGGTGGGGGAAGACAATGCAAGTCATGGCACAGATGTGGGGAAGAAAGGTTCGTTGAGGGTCAAGCAAGACGCTAATGTTCTGGTCTGGCTTAGTAAAGTGGAGTTTGCATCCATGGCTGGTCACTGCCACCTTAGCCTATACACTTAACTTGTCCATATCCCTTTTGGACTGGTTTTCCAAAGTAAAGAAAACATGAACTGGTTTAATTTTTCAAATTAATTTGACAGGAAAATCTCAAAAAGTCAAAGTGGTCACACTTGCAAAAGAAACCAGTTTCCATTCCCATAAGCAAATGAATGGTAACTCTCAGTGATAGTTAAAAACAAGAGGTTCTAATTTCTATATTTATTAATCATTTTTGCTATAGTTAATTGTCATGTGCATTTTGTATTTTTTAACGGAAATAGGGCCAGTTGCATTCACCTTATCTGGTTTCAATGTGTGATTAAGTTGTGTATCAAATTTACAAAATTATCTGATTTTTTTTAATCAAATGGCCTAAAAGGAGTTGCCACACTTACAAGTCCATTTCTCTGTGAATTGATCTGTCACTTTAAAATAACGTTCATATAGGATAAGATAAAGATGTGGGGCTGGCAAACCTTCCTCTTTAGGAAACGTACCACAAATATTTGATTTAAGTGGAGTTTTTTATTAAAAATCTGTTTTCTCTCTCCACTCCTCAAGGTGCTGGCCAGCACAGCTGATCCTGTCCTCACCTCCTTTCCCCTCCCAAACTAGCACACTGAAGGCAGTTGAAGCAGCCCTAGTCACTTTGAATTGCAAATCATTGATGGATAAACAAGTGACTGTTCTCCTGGGTTAAGTGGGGGGAGGAGAAGAGGGGAGAAGCAGGTTCGTCTTGGAACTGAACTGGCTCCAAGATGACCTGCTTGGCAACGGAATGTCAAAATCGAGCCCACATACTTCTGACAGCACAAAACTTTCTAGGACTGGGACACAGGTTGAAGCTCTATTTACAAGTCGAAATAATAACAATTTCAAAACAAAAATAAAAAACAGCTGACAGGAGTTGTGTAAAATTTAGAAAGTCCCTCTGATTTAGCACAGACATTTAGACACCATCAGGCCTTGGGCAATTTCCTCAAATCATCATTTATAATACATTGCACAATGGTTTCCAGGGTCTGGAATCTACACTTGGACTTTTTTGGCCTTCAGAATTTTCTCTATCCATTCCTCTTGAAGGCTTTGACTACATCTTATGATAAGTGATGATGAGCTACGAGTTACAGGCAAATAAAATTCAAAAGCACATCAAGTTTATGTATGCAGTTGTACTTTAACATGGTGAAATAAAGTATTTTTCCATGAGCTGATGCTGTAAACATGACCTGCTTTCAAATCTGATTTCTTTCTTTTCCCTTCCCCTCCAAAGAAAAAGCTATCTTGACCATGTGATTTCTTTTTGTACACATGATGTGCAGTTATGCCACAAGACACAACTGATAAAATTAGTCACTCACTTCATGGTTATTTACAGGACATGCTGAGCAAACTGGTTGCAATGTTCACCAACAAAATACACAGCCACTACACTTTACAGTATATTCTGCGAAGCTCTTTGATACGTCCTCCCGACGTGAAATATCAAAAGTAAGAATTATTATGATATTATTACAATGGTTGAAGCAACAGGGTACACTCATGGAACTGGGAAATCTTGTTTGCTGAATTCCCGATCACTATTAAAAAATGACTCGTTCAATGGGATAGCTCAGCAACTTTGTGCAGAATACCGTGAACAAGGTGTCAATGGTTGCACCTCACAGCAGAAACACAACGGTAATAGCAGGTCAACAACAAATAGATTGCCTTAATAAGTGTTCAGACATGCTGTCAACACAGTACAATTTACATTTATATAATGCATTTCCCATCAGGAGGGTGTCTCAAAGTGCTTGATGCTGGCTGGGCATCCATCTGGGTTGGGACCTTACGGGGTTGGTGAGCGGAAAGATGACCAAAGGAGGTATGTCATGAGGTAGATCTTGAACAGAGTGAGGGACTCTAGGATAGAGTTCCAGAGAGTGGTGGAGGAAAGGCTGAATGCCCACCCGTAGGGCAAGGGATTATGAAGTAGGCCAGTTCTGCTGAGGCAAGGGAGTGGCTGTTAGGTAAGGTTGAAGGAGATTCCAGAGGTAGGATGGGATTAGATTGTGGAGAGATTTGAGGGTAAGGACAAGGATCTTCAACTTGATTTGCTGAAGGATGGGGAGCCAATGGAGCTGAGCAAGGATGGGAGTCACAGACTTGTGGAGCCTGGTATGGGAAAGGATATGGCTGCAGAGTTTTGAATAGTCTTTAGTCTTGTGTATGGCAGAGCTGGGGAGTCTGTTGAGCAGTTGTGGACAAGCCTGGATGTGATAAAACAATAATGGGGTCTCTGTGGTCCAAGGAAAGTGGAGGCGGCAACTTTATAAAGGAAAAATAAGTGCACAGATACGGGGTTTGACAAACAGTTGGGAGTCAAACAAGACCTTGAGGTTTTGCACCAGCTCCGTAAAGTGGGGTGTACATCCCTGAAGTTGATGCTGTCAGTGCCTGAGGTGAGAAGGTGCTCACAGAGCCAAGCCTCTGTCTTGTCAACATTCAACGGAAGAAAGTTAGAGCTCATCCAGGACTTGATATCTGACAGACAATTGGTCAGAATAACAGTAGTCCTAGAGTCAAGGATCTAAGCAGAGAGATGAAAGTTGGGTGTCATCTGTATACAGTTTCCTGTAGCTTAGTGGTTACAGCATTCGCCTCGCAAGCGAGAAGACCTGGGTTTGATTCCCAGGCAGTGCGAAATGTTGGGCAAGTTCTTTACTTCACAAGCCTGTTTATCACACAGTAAATAGGAACCTGGGTTATTAGTTGACTGGCAGATTGCCTTTCTGGGGGTAAAAATACCTTAAAACAAAAAATAATTTGGTCACTCAATCCACAACTATTTGTGGGACACTGCTGCGCACAATTAGCTGCTGTGTTTCGCCCACAAAATATACAGTCAATTCACTTTACAGTATATTCTATAAAGCGCTTTGTGACGTCTCAAAGATGTGATAAGGCACTGTATCAAATACAAGCATTATTATGTAGAAGTGAATCGCATGTCTGCGGATGGAACAAAGTCAGCTAAAGTCATCACATGTTATTCTTCCCCAGGACAACACAACAAACTATATTTCCCTCAGTTCTCACTTCCCTGTGCAGCATTATTATTTTTAAAACCCGATTTTGCCCTGCCCTGAATGACCTCATCTTCACTGTGACACTTCTCAACCTTGGTGCTTTTCTGCATATGAGTCTTGTGCCCTTCATCAAAGTTCCTCAATAAAAAAAATTACATTCTTGGGAGTTTTAGCAATACAAGGCAGGGAAAATACAAGATGGGGATGGGGCAATAGATTCCTATTCTGTAATTCACTGCACAAAACCTCCTGTGATCCAGATCTTATAAGCAAT